GAAACGTGGAGGTGTGTTCAAGGATAGAAGTCAACAATGCTATACAGATCTATAGATGTTATAGTATCTTGAGGATTTTAACAACACACAACTCCTTCTGACATTCAGGATACATAGTGGTCAATTAATCTATATTTATCTGAAAATCTGTCCCATCAATTAAAACAAGGAAGTTAAAGAAAATACACTCCCTCAAAGAAAACTTAAATAAATTATGTAAATGAAACAAATCTCTGGTTCAAAGGGAGAACCTAAGAAGTAAGGGAGGAAGAGACTTTGGACCCCCACCAACTTGGCCCCACACACACACACACACACACCTGCTCCTGATGAAGCTAGTTCTGCTCTGCACTTTATGCTCAAGTCATCTAGCTTCCGGGAGTATGGGCTGTTGCTCAGCTTCTCTGTAGACAACCAGAGACCAGATTTAGCCAATTTCTGTGGTCCTAAACCTCTCACTGACAGCAGAGAGAAAAGTCATGAGCCTGTAGCTCTTGACTCTTCTCAGTTCACCAGTTTCAGAGATGGAGATGTGAAGACTCCCCTCTGCCCACTGGGAGAAAGAACCTAAGGGGACAGGCCACCAAACTCTTGCTTAGAGACGTGTATTAATTACTTAGTTTTCTTTTTACTCCCTTCAGGACAGGTGCTCTAGGGCAGTGGTTCCTAAACTTTGATGTTCGGCAGAATCACCTGGGGAGCTTGTTAAAGATGAAGATCACAGCTCCACCTCTAGAGAAGCTCATTCATGAGATCTGGGACCAGGTGATTCTGAGGCAGGTAGTTCTAATGGCACACCTTGACAAAGCACTGTCCTTAGGAAGAACATCAGGGTGGATGCCCTGTGAGTGTGAGCCTGAAAGGAGATGTGAAAAGACCTCCTTACCGCCCCACCCCCCGCCCCAACTAGATTTATGTACCCTCTAGTTAGGTCATAGATTGGGATATGAAGAAAGGGTTTTTCTCCCAGTGGATATTCCTTTTTGGTTTGTGGCTTATAAAATTAATTCTGCTTCATGATGGAAATCCAGATAATATAAACGTAAAACAAAGGATAAAGTTAAAAGATAAAGTACTTCACCCTCCCATTAGTTATTTTTATTCTTCTAAAATAGTTTTTATTCATAAAATTTTATGTTCACATAAATGGGATTTATTTTATACAGTATTTCATAGTTTTATTTTTCTATAATAACTTATTTTAGTAATTATCTTTCTACTATGCGTACCAATACATAGAATACATATAATCAATCTATCAATCTACTTAAATTTTTTAGTCAATCTTTTCTTGAATATACACAAAGATTCACTGTGAAATCTTATTAAAAATTATGCTATGCCCTGAAGTCTGTCAGTTATCTGATCAAGGCTACTTTAATATCTCCAAATGCATCCATTTGAATGGGTTCCATTGTCTTAGTGCCTCGGTGCCTGTGTCTTGCTCCTTTGAAAAGAGAAGAACCTAACTTTGAAAACGACCATGAAAATATATGAAGAATGGAGGTCCAGGTGGGACCCTGTGGAAGGGGAGGCAACAAAGCCAGATTGTTTTCACTTACTCATAGCCTAAGTCAAAGTTTATGGAATAAAATGAATGAAAATAAAGGAAAGTTGATATTATAATATTCGACACATATGTCAAATATCAAACTCCTTCAAATGTTTTGACTTCAATCTTTATACCCCAAACAGACTAGAGTTTGGGGCATCACCACATCCTTAAGTGTCACTGATCTGCTGGTTACATACTAATTAGTCTTATATTTATGTATAAAGTTGGGTAAACATTTTGCATTTTGCATAGGGCAGACACATGCAAAAAAAAATTAAAAGACTGGGGGGAAATCTTGATCACTATAATAATGATAATATGGGTTGGATTCAAGGCCAGTGCTACCTTATGAACTATGTCGAGAAAGATGGCAGTCAAATGAGGACTTTGAGACACGAAAGACATCATATAACATAAAATTGTTCAATATCCTGTGAAGAGCTCAAGTGTCCCTTGTGAATGTACACATACTCTGGAATCAACCAGTGCTTTATGGCAGATTTACATTTATGGTGCATCATGTGTGAAATAATAGTTAAAATATGTTTTCGAATGACATTACCAGAATTACAAATCATGCCAAAATCCCTCAAGGCTCAATGGAAATAAGAAGCCATAATGGACATAGGATGTAATTTTTTCAAAGCTTTGCTTCATTTTCATTGAACCTGTAGTCTGGTTTGATGATGCAAAGCATGATCTGAAGTATCTGATATCTATATTATATAGGAAAGAGTAAAGAAAATCTGATAGCTCAGGAAAGAACCTCTGATATTAAAGATTGAAAAAAAGAAATTTACTACAGCCAGAATTAATCTGAAAATATCAATGTGAACCACAGATTTCTCTATTACTAAAATAATTTAAGCATTCTCTTATTTCACTCTACCCACTTCTAGAATTCGTGTATGGTGTTATAATGTGCATCCCACAATCTCTATGATTTAATTCTTTACACTAATGTTTTTCAAATCGTAGTTCACAGATCTGCAGCACCAGCACCATGAGGGAGCATTGTGTGTGCAAATTTAAGGACCCCATTCCAAAACTACTGAATCAGAATTTGTGGGGGTAGATTCCAGGAATAAGTGTTTTAACAAGCTCTCCAGGAATTTGTGTGCACATTAAAGTTTGAAAAACTCTACTTTCATTCTTCATTTGGGAGGACAGGATGTCCATGAAGGATAGTCAGTGCCCAAACTAGAGTGCCATTTGTAGAAAAGCAATAGCATTTTCAGAGAGCATGCACTATAATTTGGTTGTGTTTACAAAAGAGGCCAGCATGAAGCATGCTTTCGTTAATGATTATGTATGAGGCTAAACACTATCAATGCCATGGCATTGGCAAAATGGGGGGATCCTTTGCCATCCTTGATCTCCTACAGGGACCTTCATCTTCAGAGCTGTAACATTTTATACCATAGGCAGAGAGTAATAATACATTTCCTCTTATTTAAGTGATAAGTAGTTTGGATTCTCTGATCTCAATAGACCCATAAAGATGAAAAGAAAACCAATTTAGTCTGCATAAGTGTAGTGAAAAAATATAGCTAATTCTTTAGATTCTGGAGTGTGTTAGAGCCTGAGATTATAATCCCAAAATATAATAATTTCCAAAAATCTCCTCAAATAAGGGTTAACCAAACTGTATATTATTTCATTTATGCCACCAAGTTGCAGAAATAAGTAATAAAGTTAATTTAGCGTATACTAACCAAACGTTATTTAGAAAGGAGAGCATTGTAATAAGAGAATGAATTTTTACCAACAAATATTTACCAAGTACACCCAACATGCCATCATTTATCTCAGGGCTATTTCTCTCAGGAGATGTCAAAGTTTTGAGACATATTCAAATGGAAAATCAAATCTGTGAATTCAATGAAAACGAGATTTTGATTTAAGTGAAAGTCATAGATTATCACTGTGAGAAAAATGTCACTCTACTGAAAAGTTTCCCGAGGGCCTCTTTCATGTCCTTGTTCCTAAGGCTGTAGATAAAGGGGTTCAACATGGGTGTGACCACCGTGTACATGAGAGCCACAATGATGTCCTTGTCAATGACATTGCTTAATGTTGGGAAAAGGTACTGCCCAAATATTGCCCCATAATACAGAGTCACTACAGAGAGGTGGGACCCACATGTGGACAATGCTTTGCAGATCCCCTTGGCTGAAGGGACCCTCAGGATGGTGGCCCCAATGTAGCCATAAGATACCAGGATACATATAAATGGCAGGGTGATCACAACCACTCCTACTGTGAACATGACTAACTCATTGAGAAAGATGTCTGAGCAGGCTAACTTGAGCAGGGCACCAAGGTCACAGAAGAAATGGGGGATGGTGTTAGCAGCACAGAAGGATAACCGGGTCAGGAGGAGGGTGTGGGAAAGGGAGCTGGCACAGGATAGGATCCAGGACACAGCCACTAGTAAAGCACACAGCTCTTCCCTCATGATGGTGGTATAGTGAAGAGGGTGACAGATGGCAACATATCGGTCATAGGCCATTGATGTAATAAGGAAGCTGTCCAGGTCAGTAAAAAATATGAAAAAATACATCTGTGCTATGCACTCTGCATAAGGGATGGATTTGTACTTAGTGTGCATGTCCCTCAACATCTTTGGGACGGTGACAGATGAAAAAGAGACATCAGTGAATGCCAAGTGGCTGAGGAAGAAGTACATGGGTGTGTGGAGGCGAGAGTCCAGCCTGATGAGCAGGATGATGAGCAGGTTCCCCAGCACCGTGGTCAGGTACATGCCCAGGAACAGGGCGAAGAACACGCCCTGCTGCTCTGGCCGGATGGGGAGCCCCAGGAGGAGGAAGCCGGACACGCTGCTCTGGTTCTCCCTCCTCATGCTGCTTGTCTCTCTCCTGGGGGTGAAGAATGGTTGAGACTTAAGGACTTTGACATAATCATTTTTAGCAGTCATATGAAAATATGTGTGTTTTATTTAGGAAACTGGGAAACTTAACCTGTCTCTCATATGTTTCTTATATGTTGTCAATGAGGGAATGTTAATGAGAACCAGCTTTTCTGGGTTTGCTGAGAAAATAGAATTCTTGCATGTGTGTCACTGAGGACCAGGCCATGAAATATGATGTCTCAGCCATGTTATTGCCCCAAGAATGCTCTGTGGTGAATACTCCAAATCATCAACCATGCCATACCAACCTTTAGAAGACTCAACTTCAATACTCGTTGTTAAATTTCAGAGGAGAGCTGAATTTTTCCAATGAAAGGATGCAAAGAACAGTATTATATTCCTTGAAGAAAACTTACCAATACACATACATTTTGATTTATTTCAGTTCAGTAGAAGATCCCTAAGAAACTCTGAATTATGTTAATTTATTCTCCCCACTGCAGTGAGGGAGATATTTTGGAAGAGTAAGAGGCCTTCCTGACAGTCCTGGCTTAACCACCTAAACAGTTTTGGAATGCTTAAGTTCTGGGCTGTCCGGATCTGGTTTTCTATGTTAGGACCCAAAGCAAGTGGAAGTTCCCTCTGAAAGACTGCTTCCTTGCATCTCTGTCTTTATCTCTTGGGTCACTTTTCTTTTGCCTCTTTCTCTCTTCCTGTCTACCTCTTCACTTTATCTTTCTCTCTCTCATTTTCTCCTTCCTTCTATCTCATTCTCTTTGCCTCTGTATCTTCATTCCTCCATCACTCCATGTCTCTTTTCTCCTCGATGCCAAAGTCAGCTTTCTTCTTCTTCTTCTATACCCATATATAAACACACAGTGCTGAGAAAAAAATACCTATTCCATTCATAATACTGATTTTACCTGCATTTGTGATCCAGTATTTGGTGAGTAAGTGTGTCCGGAGGTTCTCTTTAGAGGACCTCCATATCAGCTTCCAAGGTCCTAGACATTTCCTGAGCATCAAAAAGAAAAGCTACAAGCTGACTCTCACTTCTGTCTACCAGTCCCAGATCCATGAATTGAAGAGCATAACTAGCCAAGGAGAGAACCCTAGTGGGTAGGGAGTAGAACTTGTAATTTCCTCTTAAAGACATCCATCAAACTTGGATTAATTACCCAATTTCCCCCTTGATTCCTTTAGAAAACATGCCCTGTGGGAGGGATGTTTGTACTGGGAAACTTAGATGATGAGCCCACAGAGAAAGACTCTCAAGACTCTGCTTTCCCAGACTTAATCACCCTTTGGTAGAGGATAAACTCTAGAGAGGTTAAAAAAAGAGAGAGAATTTCTGCCTCCAACCAGGTCCACTTAGAAAGCCAGATGACTGAAGGGCCTCTAAGAATTTAGGTAGAACTGTAAGATCACTCAAAGTGATCTTACTGAGCACCTACCCACCAGGTAACCTAAAGGGAATAACTTCGTGTTTCTTCTCTCTGGTGATCATTATGAAATACAAAGTGGAAAGTGGCAGAGATAGTCACCTTTTTTTTTTTTCAGAGGTTTTATTCCTTTCTTGACAAACTTAGGTTTGATTATATCAAATAAAAATAGTTTTCAGGGAAGAAAGAAAAGAAAGGAAGAAGGGAGGGAGGGAAGGAGGAAAGAAGGAAGGAAGGAAGGAAGGAAGGAAGGAAGGAAGGAAGGAAGGAAGGAAGGAAGGAAGGAAGAAAAGAAAGAAAAGTAGGCAAAAAAATACCCCCACACACACACAAAAACAATCTTGCAAATAGGAGAAAACGAAAGAAAAGTAGGCAAAAAATACCCCCCTACACACACAAAAACAATCTTGCAAATAGGAGAAAACGTTGACACACACAATCCAGAAAAATTGACTCTTAAATTGAAAAGCTTCAGGTTCTTTTAAATTGACCTTTTGAAGAAAATGATCATTTATTATAGCATTAGTGACTCTTAGGAGTGAGATATATAGGACAAACAAAGAAGTATTTATTAGGTTGAGATAATCATCTTTGAGTGTTACTTTGCCCATTCTGAGTTTAAGGGGTGGTAGATACAGCAAAGCTTCCATCCGCATACCTTCTTTCTAGCTGTGATGACCCTGTATCACTGCCACAAGTTGATGTAACGTGGGAGACTGTCAACTCAGAACCATTGAAGGCCAGTAGCATTCTAGGCAAAAGCCAAAGAAGAAAGTTACCAGAATATTGGCCAGTAGCAGCTTAGCAAACACAAAGTGGACCATAAACTAGATTGGCTATAGGCACTGGATTCCCTGGGAACTGACATATGTCAAAGTCTATACCACCAATTGCCAAACTCAAATTACTCCTATTTTGTTACAGATTTTGGCACCTGGATCAGTTTACTTCTCCTCAACAAATTACTATCAGGTTGGGTGCCATCAGCATGTGCATGAATGAACCATAACACAATGTGATTTACTTTTTCTTGGATCTCACGTTCAATGACCTTGATCTCCATTGTGGTTTTGCCATCTCTTATGACCATATCGTGAAGACTGGAAATACTTTACCTACGAAGTATTAAATTTAAACCCTCGATTCTTTGCTCTCTTTTCCCACTCCACCCATCATATAGAATCTTTTGCCTCATAAATCTATTCAGTCTCTGATCCTGTCTATTTCCCCCCAAATTCGTTTTGTCTTCATTCTATGACCTCTAGAGGATGAATTTTATAGGTTATCACTCTCTTACGAATTTGCCTGAGTCTTGATCACAATGACCTTTCACCCTAACCATGTAGCAAAGCTTCAATGCTGGATCGATTCAATTAGCCACCTTCTGTGCTTCCTTAGTTCCGATTTATTCCTCAGTCCACTGTAATCTAAATTCAGTTCCCACCACTCATGGACGTTGCTACTGGTCATATTACCCAAATCCTCGTTATTGCTAAATTTAATGGATGGTTTTTGAAACTTAACTTCCTCTGCCCTTAACTCCCATGGCCCCACATTTTCATATTTTCCTTCTATGACTCTGGTTGTT